GATTACTGGGCCCCACTCTGAAGTTTATGATTGATTAGGTCTAGGAGGGGGCAATAATTTACATTTCTAACAGGTTTCCAGAGCTAATGACACTGGCCCAAGGACCATGCTTAAAGAAACACTATTCTCTGCTCAGAAGTTACCGTATGAGGGCACCTGGGTGGCTCAGTCGGTTAAGCGTCTGCCTTCGGCTCAGGTCATGATCCCGGGGTCCTGGGATCAAGTACCGAGTTGGGCTCCTTGTTCAGCAGGGAGCCGGCTTCTCCCTCTCCCTCTGCCTGCTGCTTCCCCTGTTTGGGTTCTTTCTCTCCCTTTATCTCTCTCTCTCTAACAAATAAATAAAATCTTAAAACAAAACAAAATAAAATATTTAAAAAAAGAAATCACTGAGAGGGAAAAACTGGCACTGGGTCGTGGCGGGAGGGGTTTTGGAATGGGTCTTCACCAAGACGATGGTGTTTGAGCTGGGTTTTGAAGAATGCATAGAAGTTTGGTTTGTGAGAAATGGGAAAAGGGGGTAGGGAAGGCATTTTGGACAAGGGAACCAGCATCAGCAAATGGATAGATGTGATACTGGTGATAGATAGATACTGGTGCTATTAAAAATACTACACGATCAATTATATGCAGATATCAACAAATCCAAATGGATGTCCTAACCACGCTGAGTGGATATCAGCCGTAGACAAATTGGCATGGATATATCGTTGCATCTCACTTGACTCCCAGCTCCAGAGGGAGGCCAGGGTGTTGCAGATATGCAAGAGTGTGGCATAGCTAATATCCATGTAATAATAATAACTGACACCGAGTGCTCACCATGAGCCAGGCACTGTGCTTTGTGTGCTTTATCTTTTTTTTTTTTTTTTAAGATTTTATTTATTTATTTGACAGAGAGAGACACAGCAAGAGAGGGAACACAAGCAGGGGGAGCGGGAGAGGGAGAAGCAGGCTTCCCGCGGAGCAGGGAGCCCGATGCGGGGCTCGATCCCAGGACCCTGGGATCATGACCTGAGCTGAAGGCAGATGCTCAACGACTGAGCCACCCAGGTGCCCCCGTGCTTTATCTTATTGAATCCTCCAACCAATCCCTAGACAGCAGATATTGTTGCCATTTCCATTTGACATTTTAAGTCACTTGTCTCAGATCAATCCCAACTAGGCTGGGATTTAAGCCTCTACAGATTGACTCCAGAGCTTATATGCTTATCCAAGGTACACTGTCCCAGGTAATGGCTAGAACGTAGGTCGCCCCTCTAACACTATGGGAATACCCAGAGAAGTAAAAATAGGTTGACCTTTCCCTTATCAACATCATTGTTTGGTTGAGGAAACAAGCCTCTCAACCATGCAACCTCAGAAACATTGCAAGGACTGTCCCTCAGCGACATGTGACACTTGCCCAGTGGGTGGGCCTGCTATGTCATTTTGCTGAGCCAGAGTGCTCATGGAAGATATGGAACTTGAACTTGGCCTTGAGAGGTATGGAATAGTGGGAAGAATGTGGAATTAGGATCCGAAGTATGAGGGTTCACTCGCTAACAGTGTGATCTGGACCAAAGTTCTTTCCTTCAGGGTTCTTATCTGGAAAATGAGTGATGTGGATTAGACTACTAGTTCTTACCAGAAGTACCCTACTCCTAGGAGGTATTTTGGAAATTGTGAGGGCAGTTTTGGTTGTGAAAATGATTGGGGGGTGGCTCTTAGGTAGGAGCCAGGAATGACAGGCGTTCTGCACACTATGAAGAATTGTCTTGGGGCGCCTTGGTGGCTCAGTCGTTAAGTGTCTGCCTTCGGCTCAGGTCATGGTCCCAGGGTCCTGAGATTGAGCCCCGCATTGGGCTTCCTGTTCAGAAAGAAGCCTGCTTCTCCCTCTCCCACTCCCCCTGCTTGTATTCCCTCTCTCACTGTGTCTCTCTCTGTCAAATAAATAAATAAAATCTTAAAAAAAAAAAAAAAAGAATTGTCTCGTATCTTGCCCTACCTTTAGAAGACCTCTGGACATTCATGAAAGTGAAAACTCTGTTTATAATTATCTGAGCCTAGAACATAGCATTACATCTCAAGATGAATTTTTCATGGTTTTGTTTTTACTGATTAAAGCTACACAATAAACAAAGGAAATATTGAACTTCTTTTCCCCAGAACTTTACTGTGCATTATTACCGTGGTAATAGCAACTGTATTCGTGGTGCTTGAATCACTGATACCACATCCCAGGGTCATTCTGCTTCAGCTGGCTGTCCCATTCATAGTGATCCTGCACTGAGCTGCTAGCCTCTGACAACTTCATCACGTCTTCTAACGAAGCGACGTATGAGCATTTACAGATTAGAATACATATTGTTTCATTATAAATGACTTTCATTTTTGCTTTGCAATAGAGTTATGGCATAATATGTGCTATTTAAAGTACTGTTTACATCTTCATTATCACTGATTCCGGTGAATTTCTTTTCAGGATAGCAAGAAAGAACAAGAAATACTTACAGTAAAAAAAAAAAATGGTGCGCCGGTCTGATAGAAGGAAGATCATCCTGTATTTGATGATCTCTCAGGGCCTTTCCAGTTGGAATTTTCTGTGGATGTAGGGAGGGGGTTGGGTTTGGAGAGGAAGCAGGGAGCATTCCAGGACGGGAATGACACCAGTGATGTGGCCTGGTGGAGCAGGGGTTGGAGGGTCTGCAGACAAGCCGGGAGAGGGAAGAAACTTCCTCAGAGCCTGGTCTTGTCATGTTCCCTGGAAGCCACTCCTTTCATTCCTCCCCGCCCTCACTGTAATTGAAGACTCCTGGGGGAACTGTCAGGGCCAGAATTACAGGAAATTGCCTTGTGGCCAGTGGGGCTTCTCTGGTTACTTCCCTCAGTGACCGAGGGCAGTGATGGCTTCCTGTCTGTTAGCTGGGTGTCTTTGCCTCCTTGTTCGGCCAAGTTCCCAAGAAACCTTAGCTTCTGTCCCTTCCATTTTTGCCCAGCTCCCGTGAATAGGATTTTATCCCCTGTCTTCGCCAGCTCCCTTGCTCCATACGAGTGATCTGGAAACGTTGGGTCCATGACAGACAAATTTTGTGGGACACCCAAAAGGCACTGTTTGGAAGTAGGCCATACATAGCTCCAAACGGATATCCAAACAGCTCTGGCAATGCCTGATGAGTCCTCTCCCTCGAAGGGGGTGACTTGGATCATTTAGTAACATAATTGTTTTTCTCCTTACCGATTATATGTGCTCGCTGAAGATGGCTTGGAAAATACAGAAATATATGTGGAAGCAAATACAAATTACCCGTTACCCCATGAAATATAGTACTCGGCAGGAGACGAAGGTGACAGCGTAGGTGAAGGTCTGTCTCTCTGTTCTTTATGCTATGCCAGCCACCCCAACTTCTTCCCCCCCACAGTGCCTCTTGATCTCACCCTCATGAATACTTGCCTGTCCTGTATGCCATAAAATGGAAGGCAAACTGGAAAGTGTACAATAACACTTAACATGTCAAAGGCATATAAGAGAGAAAATATCTCGTATCAGGAAGGTGTTTGGAATCTAAAATAGCAATATTTTGTCAGAGCTCTGCCACCACTACCTTATTACTGAGGTGTTGCAGTGATAAAGTGTTGTGGGAATGTCTACAGAGATAAAAGACCATCTGAGAAACTCACAGTGCTCCCTGGGAATTAGGAAAAGACTCACAGTACAAAGAGGCAAGAATGATTAAGCATGAGGCAGGGCTCGTAAATGTGCCTTTCTCTTTTGAGAAAAAAAAAAAAAAAAAAGAACATCCAACATTAAACAAAAAAAGTTGGATGATACTAAATCCATCCCAGAGATAAAGCTCTTGTTACAGATAATAGTTAGAATTTATGTCTTGCTCCGCCGCCGCCCCGCCCCCCACCCAAGGTGGATAGGGTCAGAATGGCAGTTTCCTTATTTCTGAACCCTTTCATTGAGGCTCTGGTAGACAGAGGACTTAGAAAACTCTAAGGCCAAGGGTTAAGGTCAGGGCTTTGGAGTTAGTCAGACCTGGGTTCAAATCCCAGCTCCATTCAGATGATCATCAAAACGTTCTATGTGCCATCCGCTCTTTTCGACATTGGGGATATAACATTGGACAATATAGATAAGGTCGCTACTTACGTGGAGCTTACATTCTGGGGGGGGGGGCGGGAGAGAGAATGTTTAATGTTGAAAAGAGAGCACAGTGATATGATTGGAAGGAACTGGGGGCTGCCTTAGGTTGAGTAGTCAGGAAAGGTCTCTCTGAGAGTAGACAATTGAACTAAGACCTGGTTGATGAAAAGAGGCCAGCAATAATAATAATAATAATAATAATAATAATAATAATAATAAAAAACCAACATCTAGGGGAAGAGCATTCCAGGCAGAAATAACAGGAAGGGCAAAGGCCCTGAGGCATAAACAGGCTTAAGTTTTTATAGAATGAAATACCAGTGTGATTGAAGCAGAGTCAGCCTGGGAGAGAGTGAAGAGATGCGGTTAGAGAGAGTCAGTGCAGGTCAGGTCACACAGGGGCTTTGTAGAAATTCAGCTAGTAATCCTCATCATCAACCTCATCATCAAGCAGATAAGAAAAAAGGAAGTTGAACAGTTGAGGGTATACTGTACGGTACCAGGTGAGGCATTTGGATCTGACTAACTGGGGCACAGGGGTGTTACTGTAAGGTTTGAATGATGTGTTGAAAGTAGAGCCTGAGGAGGACAATTCCAGGAGCAGAGTACAGGGTGGCCATTTTCATCTATCATCACATTTCTAGCACTCGAAATTTCTCTCAAGTTCTCTGCTATAGCTACTGCTTTCTCCATGAACACCAAATACACAAATCCAGTGTGACTCATGACACCATCAAATGAGATGATTAAGCCACTCTAAATTTACTTGGTTAGGAGTGTAGCTAAGGGTTAGGTTCCCTGGGGCTACATTGCTTCTTTGTTCACATGGTTTACTAACTTTTCTCTCTTTCTCTCTTTTTTTTTTTTTAAATAGGGCGAGAAGAAGTCCTATGGAAAGCCATGTGGGGGCCAAGACTGTAGTGGTGGCTGTAAATGCTTTCCTGAGAAAGGAGCGAGAGTAAGTGGCTTCTTCCATTGGTGGAAGACACAATGTCAAAGGAGTTGCGATCTGACGTGTGCGTGTGCGTGTGCGTGTTTTCTTTAGAATTAAACTGCTTAGAATTTACTCTTGTGACTTCATGGAATAAGCAAAGTGATGAGGACCAGCTGGAAGGAGCTTTACTACCCAGATGAGAGGCAGAACTAGATTGGTCAAGGTCTCTGAGGGAGCAGGAAGAGGTTTCCTCCATTGACTTAATGCCAACGTTTCCTCAAGGTTTCATCTGGAGTATTTCCAAAAGCCAATTAGGTTGTGAAGAACCAGATTATGTTTGTAGATAGGTGTACATTTTCTTTTTTTTTTTTTAAAGATTTTATTTATTTATTTGACAGAGACAGAGACAGCGAGAATAGGAACACAAGCAGGGGGAGCGGGAGAGGGAGAAGCAGGCTTCCTGCTGAGCAGGGAGCCCGATGTGGGGCTCGATCCCAGGACCCTGGGATCATGACCTGAGCCGAAGGCAGCCGCTTAACAACTGAGCCACCCAGGCACCCTAGATGTACATTTTCATAGCTCATTTTTAGCCACTTGGTCCTTCCCTCTGGGGAACAAGCGGTCCAGTGGTTATCTACACACCAGGGATGTGAGCACTGCTTGAGCTCTCTCTCTCTCTCTCTCTGACAAATAAATAAATAAAAACCTTAAAAAAAAAAGAGTTTCCAGGGTAGCCTTAAAGTCCAAAAATCCGGGTGACTGCCCATAAAGAATGATTTGTAGGTATTATATTAGAAGCTAGGATTTATTTAAAAACATTCTGGGATATATTCAGTGTCTTGGTCCTTATTGGCAAATTGCAGGGAGTACAGTGAGTTAGCAGAGTGTTTCCATCAGCCCTTGTATATGCATATGGGAAGCATTGCCCCAGATGATTTGTACCCCTGACTCTCAGAGAATAAACCGACATCTTTAGTGTAACTCAGAAAAAAAGCATTCGAGGGGGTTCCATTTTTACAAAATGAAATATAATCTATGTCCCCGGGATTTATAGCCATCCTGTAGAATTCAGATCTTCTGACTTGCAGCATTGTGTCTGCACTCTGATCACATTCAAAAATGCCTAAGAGCTTACACTGTCAAAGGGAGGGAGCATAAATAGGTCAACCAGACCCTCAAAAACATGGCCAAACAGGGAACAGAGTGGTCACTCCACCTTCTCTTTCATTATCTTCCATTTGGAGTAAAGTGAAATATCAAACTATGCCAGAATTTGAAGGAAGAGAAAAAACCATCTCCTCATCAAAAGGGACGAGGCCCATTATACATTAAAGGGACTTAGAGAATCCTAAAATATCAGGAAAGGACAGTATCTTAGTGAGCTTCTCATCTTATCCACCGATTGTATAGAGAAAGCAGACTCTGAGAAGGAAAATGACTTCCCGGGGTCACACAGCAAATTGATGACAGATTCAGACTATTACCTGGATCCTTTGATTTCTTGCCTATTTACTTTTACCCACTGTTGCCTCCCGGAGAAGTCATGTTCACTGTAGCCACTGAGGCCCATGCCTCTGCCTCTGATCTTCAACCAGGAAACACTTTAGAAAAAACATGGTTCTATAATAAATATATGAATACATTCTTAAACAACATGCAAGCAATAGAAGCGAAGCAGAAGTCTCCTCTGAGACTCCAGTCCCCCTGTTGTCTTTCTGGTCTTTTCCTGTACATAATCGGAGATGTAGAAATATGAACAAAAATAGTTTCATTTTCTGGGTTTTTTTTTTCCAAACTACAATCATAAGTATATATTCTGTGCCTTGTTTTGTTTTGGGGTGTTTTTTTTAGCCATTTAATATGTCCTTAAGATCTTTTTCTCTCCCCCATTGTTTAATCCAGCCATTCATTCCCCTGTTGATGAACACTTAGGTTGTTTCCAAATGTTTCCTGTTTTAAAAAGTGGCAGTGCCCCAGTGGAAATCCACAAACAGATCTTCTTGTACTTATAGGATCAGAATTTCCAGATACAAGGTAATAAAGATTTTTAACTCTCAAAGCTAGTGCTTACTTGCCCCACAAAATACTCCAATTTACACTCCCATCAGCACTGTATAGGAGTGCCCACGTGTCTACGCCCTTGTCCACATTTGATATTTTTGCTAATATGGGTGAAAATCCTCCCGATTCCCAGACTGCATGTGAGTTTAGGTGTCTTTTGCCATATTCATGGAACATGTGTATTTCTTCTGTGAATTTCCTGGACATGTCCTCTGCCCACTTTCATAATGAGTGATTCTGACTGACTTACCTTTCCTCTGCAAAGATATCATAAATAAAAAATGGCCCAAGTGGAAGCGGATGAGATTTGCAGTTTGCCGCCAAAGGGCATTTCCTGGCAGATTGTAGAGGACAGGAGGCAAGTCGGTCAGACCCCGCCACCAGGGAACTGAGAAGCACATCTGGGCTGTTGGTTGGGGGTGCAGAGCCTTTAAAAGTAGAAAATCTTATTATATATCTGAACAGAAGTTAGTTAGTCCCACACCAGACAAACATGCCAAAGATGACCGCATTGTTTAACCCCTGGCTGAGAGTTTGATCTTTGAAGATGGAAGGCAGTGGATTTCCTCAGTAAGGAGCTTTCATTTGGCTTCCAAGCATCTGGAGCCCTCGTCTGTCTTCTCCTTTGAAAACATGAGCGGCTGAAGGGCTGCGGGACTGGGGAAAATAGAGTATCACCGCACTGATTTTTTTTCTCAATATTTAAAAGGTTCAGAGCCCGCCCAGTTAAACATGGTCCTAGAGTTTGTGAAGTCTGTAGTTGCTGGGAACGTTTGTCCAGGTTGCTGTACCAGACCAAGCTGTAATTCATGAGTCAAGACCAGGGATGTCCTATTTCCCAGATAGATCAGGAGGCCAGTGCGCGTGAGGCAGACGCTGTGAGCACGGATGCTTGAAGCTACCCGGGCCACCAGGTCCCTTTGCGTCATTCTCTCTACCCCCCTGCCTTCCCAGGGCCAAGCAGGATTGTTTAAACTGGCTCCAGCACTGTTGACCCTGCAGGACAGCCCCTCAGTACCCCTTTTGTGCAGATGTCAGAAAGATTTGAGACTGTTTTCCTTAGCTGAGCAGCGGGCCCCATTTGGATTTCAAGCTGTTCCCTTCGAGCTCTGCGAGCTGGGGGGAATGGAACGTCAGGGTCACTCCTGAGATATGCCGCAGCCCTTGGCAGGCCTGCCTCCTGCCTTGGGGAAACATCAAGTACATAGCTTGCTGGGCAGTGTGTACTTTTCCTTTGCCAAAGGCCTCTTGAACTGACTAGGACATTTACACAACACCTAACACTCCTGCACAACGGCAAACCAACCCCCTTCTGGCTTACGTGCTCTCGAACTGCTTTCTCGAGGGTTTGCCCTGCCTGGTAAAAAGCCTTTGCCTAGGGGCGCCTAGGTGGCTCAGATGGTTGAGTGTCTGCCTTCGGCTCAGGTCATGATCTCCAGGTGCTGGGATCGAGCCCCGCGTCGAGCTTCCAGCTCTGCGGGGAGTCTGCTTCTCCCTCTGCCTCTCCCCCTGCTTGTGCCCTCTCTGTCTTTCAAACAAATAAATTAAAAAATCTAAAAAAAAAAAAAAAAAGCCTTTGCCTAACATTGGTGTACTGCTTTGGTACTTTCCCAAAGCATCTTCTCGCAGGGTCCATATTATCTCTAGGCCACAAGTGTCTTGGCCAAGCTCACTAGCCTGTCAATGGTGAAACTTACTTAGCCTCCTTCAGGAGAATGTCAACTTTAAAAGAGAGCATACCTGCTAATGTTAAAGAAAGGGTTTCTTTTTTTCCCCCTGGACATTGAAATTTGGACTTAACGATTTGACTTTCAGTTTTCTTTCTGGGCAGGGGGTGGGGGGATGTTTTATTAACTCAGAAAACCATTCTTTGGAGTTTTTCTCTTCCCTGGTATATTTTTTTGGTGGGGGTGCATTAGATTGAACAAAAAATATCCATTTTCCATCTCCACCTCTTCCCATTTTTTCCCTACTGGATTTGCAAGTTGTCTCTGCATTGTACTACATCGGTGTGTGCTTGAGTTGGGAGCTGGTGGGACTGTGTGTTTTGTTCCGATCCTCCTGTATTCCTTAATACGATTTCAGACTTTCCCCTGTTTTTGCGGTGTTCCGGCTGGCATTTATATACAGCATGGTGAGCTCCGAATTATGCATGCCACCTAAAGGAGCATTGTCACAGATAATCCCAAACCGTGGGGAATATTGGGATTCCCCCCCCTTCCCATAAAGGCTGTTTGTCCCTGTTTTATCGCTGTGTCCTAGCTAGAGAGTTTCACGTGAAACACCCCGGGTCTTTTATCTCCTCATCTGCAGCCTGCTTCCTGCTTCTTCTCTGTGAAAAACTGTGTGTTTCCCATGAATTCCAGGCCCAGATGCATTGACCACTAGTTTTGTTTTTTGCGTTTGGTTTGGTTTGGTTTAGTTTTGTTTGACTCTCCTCCTGCAAATAGCTGGCGTTCCCCATGTCAGAGGCCTTTCCATTGGCTCCTGATCTGGGCAATTTTGGTGGACATCTTTCCCTTCTCCCTGTGTGCCCACCCCCCACGCCCCTACCCTGACCGACCACTACCACGCACACCAGTGTCCTTATCCTCTACCGCTCCCAAGGCGAAGCTTATGTTGCTCGTGAGCTCCTTGGGTGGCCGGGCCTTGCTCCAGCTGCCTGAAGCCGCTTGCCTTCACTGCCCACCCACTCCTCGGCCCTCCGCGGGCTGGCCTCACTGCGAACACGGGGCCCCAGTAACCTGCTGATCCAAATGGACATTTTTCAATCTTTATCTCCTGTCGCCTCACTGCTGCACGAGACACCTTCCTGAAACACTCTGTTCCCTTGGATTTCATGATATTCTTCTCTCCTCGTGTTTTTCCTACTTTGATTGGGACTCCCCAGGGTTTTGTCCTCATCCTACTTCTCTGCTCATGAGAGGCCTCTCTTAGGGTGGTTTCAGAGATGCCA